AGGACATAAAACCTGATATCAGCTATTATGTCCTTGTGCTTATGAAAACACACCCACTCTCAAAGACCAGGCTCTGAGGACAAAAGCTGCCACCTGTTCACTCTCTACCCAACCCAGTGTCCTGACAGTCCCTGTGCCCAGCTCCTCTGCATTCCCTCCCTTTCTCTCTGGCTGGGTCTCCTACCCCTGGGCTCTGGACCCCACCTCTTGCTCACCTCAGGACCATATCCATAAAGGAAAGGACTTTACAAAGTTAATCAAGTTAAAATGAGACCCTCTTCCAATGACCCATGTCCTCACCTAAAGAGGGAATTTACAGACAGCCATGCACACACAAGATAAAAGCTGAGATCTACAAGCCAATGGGTGCCAAAGTTTTCCTGAAAACCACCACAAGCCTGGGGACAAGGATGGACATAATTTACAGACAGACATGCATACATGAGAATACCTGGTAAAGATAAAGGCTGAGACCTGCAAGCCAAGGGGTGCCAAAGCTTGCCTGAAAACCACCAGAAGCCTGGGGACAGGGATGGACAGTTTCTCTCTCAGTCCTCAATATAGGCAAACTGGGCCCACATTTCCATCTCTGACCTCCAGCCTCTGCAACAGTGAGACAATACATGTCTGTTGTTTAAGCCACTAGGGCTGTGGTGCTTTTATGTGACCACCCAGGCAAATGGCCACAGAGGCAAAGATCTTCCCCCACATCTCCACAGCGTGGAGAATGGTTTCGCCATCCACAGCCCAGCAAATACATTCTTGTACGTCTACATTTTCTTCTAGCCCATATTTTGCTGCCTGCATGGTATCCCATTGTGGGCCACAAGATTGACTGACTTTCCCCTATTGATGAAGAGTCACAGACTGCTTTGCATTTTGTGCTACTATAAGGGACACTACCACAAACACTCATTGACTGTCGACTTGTTAGGCAGAGGCCTGGGTGTGCATGTTCTCTGTGCTTAAACTTCATCCACCTGCTGAATAACAAAGGGTCACCCTGTCATTGGGTTTGAATTATTTATGGAAGAGGCTGGCTGTTCCCCAGTGGCCTGGCCATTTGTATTTGTTCTACTGGGATATATGCCTAGTTTCCACCATGGAGTTTTGGGACCTATTCTCATCAAAGCCACAAAATCACAATAAGGAGACCGGGTCTGCATGGGTGGCATCCCTAGGGAGAACTGAGGTCACTCTAAAGGCACAAAGGGGGCTGAGTGCCCTCCTACCTAGTATCTGCTTTGTGGCCTGAGGAAGACAGACTCTTCCAGTTGCCTTTGCTTGTTCACCTGCACAAGGACAAGAGGGATAATGAGTCAAGGTCATTAGGGACAAGAAAGCAATGTTGGCTAACATACCAGAACAGTCTACTCAGCAGGGATTGGAAACCACCAGGACCAAGGAGGTTCCAGCTGGTGAGAAACACATGTGGCACCTTACTCAGGGTTTGGTTCTGCTAATCATAGCAGTAGCTCTCTCCTGCCCTACCTGTTCAGGTAGGCCCATCCAGCTGCACAGAAAACCATGATGGCCCATCCAGCTGCACAGAAAACCATGTGATGTAAGGAGATCATGTTTTTTACAGCCCAGCAGAGCCCCGTCACCAGTAGGAGAAAGCTCCCCCTGCCCTCACATCATCAAATGGGAAGGATCTGGAGACCCTACAATCTCATTCCCCTCAATGTAATCCTGGGTAGGTCCCACTGGGAGGGTTGTCATGGGCAACCAGCTGAGCACCACACAGCCTGGGGTCTGGATGAGGTGGTGACAGCCTAAAGGCCAAGCAGGAAGCAGGGAGGACAGACCTGTACATGTGGACCACTACAGTCGTTTCTGTGAGCAGAGACAGCAGAGGCCTGTCCCAGGCACACACACACTTACAAGGATGGTGGGCAAGTGAAGGTAGCCAGAGGAGGAGACAGAAAAGTGTGGCCTGAGCTGGGGTAGGAATGCTTGCAGTCCCACAGCAAACCACAACCCTGGAGTACTATCTTTCCGAGGGCCCAGCAGGCCTGCAGCCGAACTGAGCATCCCCACTCCCTTCTGGAGACTCAGACCTCCTGGCCCCACTGGCCATGCAGGTCGCTATGCTAGGTTGACCCAGCTGAGACCACCACACAGGACAGGACAGGCCTCCTACTCCCTGCGGCCCAGGGAGACAGCCAGGGTGAAGAGCGCCTCCTAGGACCTGAGGAAGAGAGGATTCTGGGACGCTGAGACCACAGAGCAGCAGGCCAGCATCCTGGCTGCCCCTCAGCTGCTCCAGGACCACTGACAGGTGACCGTTGACACCCACTGGTGTTGGTGAGCTACCCCGTGCTGGCGGAGACAAAAACCCCTTTTCTTGCTGTGTTACAAAGGCACCTAGACACAGACATCCGGAAGTAGCACACCAGGACACAGCAGCACTCCATGATGTAGCAGTACACGTGCCAGGATTCTGCAGGCACTTAGCTGGCGCGCAGGTAAGCAGCCGGGTAGAGACTTAGACACGCATGCAGACCACGGTTGCTAGGAGACATTGTTGGACTCACCGGACACTGAGGCTCACAAGATGACCAGGGCAGGTTGTGATCTCCTGACCAGTGGCCAGTGGGAAGGGCTAGGCAAAAAGAGGGGCGGGGCTTGGGGAGAAGGCGGGACTGGGTGTTGGGGGCGGGGAGAGTATCTGGGTGAGACCAATGGAGAAAGCCAGGGGGAGTAGCTGGGGCCTGAATTGTGAGAAAGCTGGGGAGGAGCTGTGAAAAGGTGTTGTTGGAGCTGTGGAAAAGCTGATGGAGGAGGATCTGCGGGAAAGGGCAGAGGAGGCAGAGCTGAGGACTGAACTGTGAGAAAGCTGAGATGAACTGTAAGATGGGGTTGTTGGAGCTGTGGAAAAGCTGGTTGAGGAGGATCTACGTGAGGGGGAGGAAGTGGTGGAGCTGGGGTCTGAACTGTGAGAAACCTGGGAGGAGCTGTGGGATGGGGGTGGGGGAGCTGCAGAAAAGCTGGTGGAGGAGGATCTGCGGGGAAAGGGTGGAAGAGGTGGAGCTGAGGGCTGAGCTCTGAGAAAGTGGGGAGGAGCTCTGGGGTGGGGCTGTGGGAGCTGTGGAAAAGCTGGTGGAGGAGGATCTGCGGGAAAGGGTGGAAGAGGCAGAGCTGAGGACTGAGCTCTGAGAAAGCTGGGGAGGAGCTCTGGGGTGGGGCTGGGGGAGCTGTGGAAAAGCTGGTGGAGGAGGATCTGCAGGAGGGGGTGGAGGAGGCGGAGCTGAGGGCTGAACTGTGAGAAAGCTGGGAGGAGCTATGGGATGGGGTTGGCAGAGCTGTGGAAAAGCTGGTGGAGGAGAATCTGCAAGGGGCTGGAGGAGGCGGAGCTGAGGGCTGAACCTATAGAAAGCTGGGAGGAGCTGTGGGATTGCAGTGGGGGAGCTGTGGAAAAGCTGGTAGAGGAGGATCTGTGGAAGGGGGAGGAGATGGCAGAGCCAGGGTCTGAACTGTGAGAAAGCTGGGAGGAGCTGTGGGATGGGGTTGGCAGAGCTGTGGAAAAGCTGGTGGAGAAGGATCTGCGGGAGGGGGTGCAGGGAAGCTGGGGAGGCTGAGCTCAGAGGGGGTGAAGGCGGAGGCGAGTAGTGGAG